GGTACTTTTTATCCCGGAAAAAATTGATATTTCCGAGGGAAAACAAAAATATTAGTATAGATGGCGCTGTGTGTATTGGTATAGATGGGGCTGTATGTCATTTAAAACCAGTCAACGAATTACCTACTTACCTACCTATTTGTTTGTTTGCCTGTCTAAAACGGCAGAACGGAGGTACTAATTAACGTTATTTTTTAACTGAAGGTAGTTGAAGGGATGGATAGTCACATAGGCTACTTTTTATCCTTTTGTGACGCGAGCGAAGCGGCGAGTAAAAGCTAGTAGATATAATAAAGAATATTTATTAATATTTCTATGCTTCCATTACAATTTAAAACTGACAAAGTACAATTTCCGAGCATGATATATCTATACGCGTGCATCATGACTTACATTATAATGTTCTGCACATGTTACATAGTTGCGCAAGAGTACCTATGACGTGTGATCAAGTGATCATATTTATTAGACTTTAATACTTTGTCGTATTTTATGATTGAGGATAGATCATAGATCAGTTAAGCTATTTTGTAACTGGCAATTTGAACCTTTGAGTTAAAAATAATGATAATAATAGTTTATTTGCAAAAACATTACCTACATATAGCCCGATTTTTTTTTCAGGGGGAAATCATCGAATGACTGCTCCCGCCTGGGTGAGGCGGAAGGGAGTGTCAGACTCTTACTGACTAAAAACCACCCCGTTCCTTCTCCTGCACGTCGAGCCGGAGCCCCGGTTACCCGTTAGGTTCTCCGCGATAAGTACTTATTTTTTCATTTCGCCATTTCTCCAAGATGGCGGCGCGAGCGGCTCACGCACAAAGGTGCAAAATGGAAATCGACAAGAGCACATCAAAATCTACAAAGTTCCCGATTTTCTAAACTCCCGGAAAATATTTCAGGTAAAACTATCAAAATATTGAACTATTAATCTTCAATTACAATTGGCTAGTTTCCAAGGTTTAAAATAAATTGTTTCAACTTTTCAATGCAATAAATAATTAAAAAATAATCATACTCTCATCCATTGATTTGACAATTTACCTACTTTTGGATTTTACCTCGCAAATTTTAAGGAAATGAGTAAGTATGCTATTGGACCGTTGACGCAGAAATATGATGACGTCATAAGTTGCGATCCAGTAAAAAAATCATAGAAAAAGTATCGTTTTTGACATTTCTCGTAATAAAAGTATTGAATTTGACTTGGGTTTTTTTTAAGGGGGGAAAATCATCGAATGACTGTTCCCGCCTGAGTAAGGCGGGAGGGAGTGTCAGACTCTTACTGACTAAAAACCACCCCGTTCCTTCTCCTGCACGTCGAGCCGGAGCCCCGGTTACCCGTTAGGTTCTCCGCGACAATTTGACTAGGGTAGGTACGAGCAAGAAACTCCATTTGTTATTCTTAAAATAAATAAATCAAAAGTTTCAGTACAAACTGCACTGAAACGAAGAGATTGTGGGTCGAAGAACTTCTTGAGATTGTTATTACATTACAATGTCAAAACATTTGAGTTTTATCTTTACTTTCAATTGAGTACCTACCTAGTTGTTTTATTAATTAAAAGTAACTTTGTTTGTTCTCTTATTTTAAGGTCGGGTACTTGCCAACTAGTCAAATTCAATATTTTTTATCGAACTGTCAAAAACGATCGTTGTCTATGAATTTTGTACGAGAACGACGTCACGGTTTTTTAGCAGAGTCAAACAGCATACATCTAAAAAACAATTTCCTGGAAAAATACTAAAATTAAGTTGGTCCTAAAATCAATTAATGAAAGTGTGATTCTTTGTTGATATTTTATTGTATTGAACAGTCGAAATAATTTATTTTTGAGGAAAGTACCCAATTATCTCTGAAATTGCAGGTTAGAATTTGAAAATCGTATAGAACATCACGGTACCTATGATCAATAGGAGCGTTTACGTACATACGTACCAATTTTTGGTATTTTGGTACATTTATCTTCAACTGTGGGAGAGCCATGCTTCGGCACGAATGGGCCGGCTCGACCGGAGTGATACCACAACAGAATAGAAAATCAACGTGAAACAACGTTTATCTTCAACGTGCGTTATGTTTCGTCGTGTGAGTAAGGTTACCGGAAACCCAATTACCACCCCCCCCATCTGCCAATCACTGAATCCCCCAGAGTCATCAATTCCTAATCCCTGGCCGGTAATGCACTTGTAAACGCCTCTGCTGTTCCAGGTGTCCATGGGCGACGCTGGTTGCTTACCATCAGGTGATCCGCTAGCTCGTTTACCGGCTTATCCCAAAAAAAAGCACAGGAATGTAGCGATATAAATAGGTACTTAGGTGTACCTATTATCTAAATCAAGTCTTGCAGGGGACAAAATACCGAATGAGTTATCGATTAATCGTCATTTTATCTGATTGACATCGTCATACTTCAGATAAAAAATGTGATTCGTCATAAAAATATCTGTAAACAAAATCTCGTTAGCAACAGTGAAGAATGACAATGACAACATGGCGGGGCGGGAACGGGAAAGTACCATAGACTTATGTTTTCACTTTTTGTTTGGAAAATTTAGAGTTCTTTGGGAAAATGACAGCTGTATTTTTAATGTGTTTTTTTTATTTAAACGTGTTGATATCGAATTCCTTTTCGGTTATTATGGGACTTATAAATGAATGACTTTGACCTTCTAACGAATAGGTACATTGAATTTTAATAATTATTTTCAGTAATTGATAATATAAATACTTTTTTTTAAACGTTGACCCACACTAGGATATTTTCCTGTGACATGGGTGCGTTTACAAACGAGCGTGCGTTTTAAAATTACCTACCAATATCTCTCTACTTTATCCTTCATCATTATAGGTACATATTGTTCTATGTAATGAAACACATTCATACTGTATTTTGAAGTCTTCAAACAAATTAAAGCATTATTATTTTGTAGGTAGGTATATCAAAAAACAACAGAACCCATCCTGAGTCGCTCGCACTTAACCATTGTTTATTTCTTTTTCTAATGTGACCAGCATTTAATTAATTCCTAATTCGGGTAGGTAATTGTAAACATCAAAACTTACCCTCAGCCGGACACCCATTTTTAAATTTGAACAGGTTACCGGATTACCGGATAATAAACATTTAAAATCATCAATCCAGAATTTTCGTTTCCTAATTAAAATCTCGATAAAGTATACAACTCAATTTTTAGATCACGCCACAACAGGACGGCTGACCTCTAACCCGGCTTTGACAATAGCCCTGTTACTGCTGTTAATCATATTGATAACAACTGACAAGTAAGTTTCCTACGAACTACCTCTAGAGAAGTAAAGACTAGACGACTTATTTGTAATTTCAAAATATATTTTTAAAACTCAATAGGAATAACATACCTTGAATTCCTTGGCGAAGTTTTTTTCTTACAGTAACCGGTTCACCTTATCTCTAGAAAGGCTTAAAATAATGTTCACTTTTATTTACTCTATCGGATAACTAACTGTTTAGTTTATTTCGATAAAACTATGATTAATTAAACGTATACAGCTAAAGTAATAATGAAAACTGAGCACATTTAAAACAAAGTAGGTAACTATTTTCTATCTAGAGCTAGCGATACAATTTTGAACTAAAAATAAGTGCAAAGTAACACATCCCTCCCGCACGGACGTTGTCACTGCACTATTATTTTAGTAGGTATTTGAATGCATAGGTATTGGCGGTGTTGCTGAATGGTTTTTTATTAAATTATATAACTAGGAAATAGCCTGCTTAAAGTCAGATCCGTCCTCCAAATAATAAGCAAAGATTTAATTAACTTTTACACTTATTATTTTTCGTGTAATTAGGATAACAATAGTAAAAAACCAAAACACAAAATCAAAACAAAAATAATTTTCATGGTAATGGTAGATAATTAGTTATTGCGCTGGTAACACACAAGCAACGTTCCGTTTTTGTGGGAACAAAAATTAGGAATATAGTTGTTTATACGTTTATATGTAAACTATCATAGTTAGATATTTCTAATTTATATGAATCAATTAATTATTTTTTATGTAATATAAATACAGTAGCTTAATAATTATTCTGCAACTTAAAAAAAAAAATTTTAAAGGAAATTTCTAACCCTTTGACTTCATCGTGGAACGTAACGTAAAAATCGAAGAAAGAGAGAAAGGACAATGAATTGCTAAACAAAATGGCCGCTGAACGTAGAAAGGCGTGTCGCGGATACTCCTGATATTCGCCTTCTCGGAAACCATTGAACTTCAGTGAAAAGTTTACGTGTATTATACTGGTTCGTAACTTTGTTTTGTGATTAATATAAGGTGAATATAGTATTTGATGTTGGATGTCCAGCCTGCTGTGTTCGAGGAGCGTCACCCCATCGTCTGTACTATGGAGGATGTTATACAGCCGCGTATGGCCTGTACCGTGAGGCCTCGCCGCGTGTGCTCGGAGGCTGCATGTTCGCCTCGCGTGGGCCCGTGTCGATCGCGGTCGCTTCGCCCCTCGCGAAGCTTTCGTCCGCCCGCGCGCCGCTTTCGCATTCTAAGTATGTCGGTTTTTACAGCGGCGCTGCCGGGTTTCGCGTCTGCCCGCCGCCTGGCACCGGGGCTTCGCCCCCCGCGTCCCGCCGCGCGCGTTCGGAGCCCTTGCTCCATCCGATCCTTGAACGAAGTCGTTCAGGTAAGTTTTTCCTAATTTTCACTGCAGGTGAGGAAAATCGATTCGGGCATCGGCCATCTTGGAAAAAGTATAATTAGAACAGCCGTACAGTTATTTGGCTGCCAATAAAACAGTTATATTACCACGTCGGACACATCTATAGCGATATTATGCATTATCATGAAATAATCTTGCAGGAAAAAGGTCTATTTATGATATCTAGGTTCATTTTCATGTATTTAAGCACTAGACAAAGGGCAGGGCTGAAAAATCAATAGTTCTGCATCTGCGCACGCAAGATGGACGGTCCTCCTGAAAATGTGAAAGTCTAAGTTAGTGCTAATGGATATCCTAGAATATCTCGCGTTATTATGGTGCGTTTAACTCCAAAAACCTATTAAAAGTGTAGATTTAAACCTAAAGTACTCGTGGGGTGTAAAAATTTCCAAGTTTGCTTCGTTTTAGTGCCAAAATCATGTCGTGTTACAAAGGGCGGAGGCTGCGAGCACCATTTTGTCTCTAGTCGAATCTAGGTCATCTATCGAACAAAGAAAACCCTAGACCGCGTTCAATATTTCATCAAAATTCAGTGAAATCCCAAAACAAATAACCAAAATAAACATCTATTCAAAAATCTATGTGAAATCTGGACTAAAACAGTGATCTTCAAACAAATAAATTAAAAATAAATAATTAAGAATTTTCTTTAAATCATCACTAGTCAATCAATCAATCAACCTAAATTAGAAAAAATAAGTTACCAAAATATCATCAACAATAACCATGCACTGTACTCCTCGGACAATCCAATCATAGTTCAAGTTCTCGCAGCATGTATTTGATTGAAACTCTTTCTATTGGCCAATGTGTTTGCTATAAAAATATCTCTGGTGACACCCAGTGAAAAGTGGACTGTGGAATCTCCATTCATATTTTAAAACCGACAACATCACTCGGTCAAAGATAAATTTTCCTCCTTAGTCACTTGGCTTATGGATATACTCTCCGTTGCAACAGCTGACCTCCAAGCTATAATATGGTGTTCTTTTTCTATGTAAACCAGTCTCCAGAGACTGACTGAAGAATGTCTGTCTCCAGAGACAAAAACATTGAGTCTTCAGTCAGTGGTCTTTTTCTCTAGACAACCCTTTACTTGTGAAAATCACATTCAAACACAGCAAAATGTCTTCTAAATTCTTGTAAGATCTGTGGTGATACAATCAAATACTTAGTTGATTTAAGTTTGACAAAGCCGCTGAGGAATAAGTAAAAGCATTCTCTAAATATCTGTGGATGACACAATGCAATCATCAGGCTTTCTCCGGAACATGGGCATTAAAGCAATCATCCTTTTAAGGCAAGATTTCTTTGTTATGCAGTGAAAATAACGTAGCGCTTGACACACCCATAAATCAATAATTTGAACAAAAATGTTAACACACTGATCCGGAATGTATTTGATAGTTCCTGAATATTTGTCAAAGGTTTACTTATAAATCTAAGAATTCATTAAGATGGTAGTTCATTAGAATTCATATCTCCATAGCACCGAAGGTGTGATAACTCAAAGAGCCATCAGTTCACCACAGATGGGACCCAGTAGCACTGGCTAATGCCTGATGCGGAGCCATGGAGGGCTTAATGGGTTGCCGGGGCTCTGACTCGAAGAGCAGGAGTAGAAACGGGGCGGTTTTTAGTCAGTAAATCTGACACTCCCTCTCGCTTCACCCGGGCGGGAACAGTCATTGATTTTCACCATTAAGAATAACTATATACCAATTGCTTGCTGCCAGGGGCGTGCACAGAGATTTGAAGTAGGGTAGGCAGAAGGTATCACATGATTAAAAATAAATTTGGTCTAGGTACATTAATCTCGGAAAATAAAACTCCCGAAACATCATAGTTTTGAGTAGGTAATTAGGTTTAGTAAGTGTTTTATTAATTTGTATAAACAAATTATATAGGTACATAATTATTTTAAAACTATCCGTGTATAAAGTTGATCAACATAGATCTATCGGTATCTATTTTATAAATCTATTAACTAGGTACCTACTTTGGAGCGGCGAAGTACAAATGGCTACACACCAAGCTATGCGACACCAGTATAACTGACCGTTAAATGCATAGAGAAATCGTACAAAGCGAGATCAAGATAGACTGGATGTCAAAAACAATAATTAAATTGGTACACAACCAGTGCTAACAAACTATACCTATAACCGCTAATCGTAGTTTATTAAAAGAAATAATAAAATTATTATCTTTTTTGAGTTACGCCTAGCCCGGACATACGACACGCAAAATCACCTTTGGAAATATTTTCGTTTCTTCTTCAAACGACAATAACGACAACGCACTCATATTGAATTTATTGAACAACACAAATCACCAGCACTGAGCTCACAGCTATAATTTTACATAATTTTCGGTAAATTAACAGTTCATTTAAATTATAATTCATTACATTACAATTTATTCACTTGCACATAAAAACATAACCAAAACAAAATGGCCAAAAAAACGTAAACAATAAGTTGACCAAAATTAATATATCTATTTTCAGTCAACAAACGCTACGTTTTGTTGACTTCTTAAATTAGTCGGATAACGAAGAAGCAGTGCTTTTGCAGTTGTATAGAAATTACCAACCTAACAAAAAAAAATCCAACATCAGCACGAGAAAACAAGCAAATTGTACTGGCTAGCATTAGTACATGCTTCCGCCACCATCACACAATAGCGAGGTGGCGGCGCCACTGGCGCAATGCTCCAATATCGAAGAAAGTAGAAAGTGGTTGTAGTACTTCAATATTTTTTCAATAGATGGCGTTAGTTACCAGTTTTCCGAATTAAGTACCAATAAAATTACGAAATCTCTGTATGATGTCAGTAAATATTCATGTCGTGTATATGTAATTGACTATGTAGGTTTACCATGATTTTGTAGGGTATGCACTGCTTATTTGCATGTATGGTGTGCACGCCACTGCTTGCTGCCCCATGTTATAAAAAAGAGTCGTTTTTAATAAGTAACCACACCCATATGGGTCATGTTTCAATTTTGAGACTAAGAACCACACCCAATTAAGTATGAAATGGTTGATGTGTCAGCAATTTTGAAAAAGAAAGTACACTGTCTGGGACTTTCCTCTGATTCTTATCGACAATATAGTAATAAATAAGATAAGATTAGATGATGACATATCCTTAATCAATATATTATTCTACCGATATAATATTAATTATTTTGATCACATGAAACAATTTACTATAATGCTATTGTTCTTATCTCACTAAAGGATGCTTCAGAGAAGCCATTGCTTTTATGGAAAATAACCGGTGTTATAAGTTATGACTAATTCAAATTCAAGATATCTCGGTTCCGTAAATTATCCGTTATGAATAAAATTTTCAAAATTTAGATTGACTTATCTACAGCGAGGGTGCATGACGACTCCTCATACAATAGAACCTGGATTAATTAGATTATTATTATTTAATTAAATAAACATTAAAAACACATTTTAAATACGATTCAAAATACATTGTTTTAAGTCAAACGGGCGCGACAGCTAATTCTAATAAATCGCAATTACGTTTAAATCACCTCATTAAGCAAGTAGCCAATATTGATATTGAGGTTCGGAAAAAAAGCACTTGTATTGTACATAAGGTTTCCAGTGATGGTGATTAATAACCCTTAGTCCGGAACTCTTCATCATCATAACCCTATTTGCAGGATGTCGTCCCGACGGAACGGGTCGGTGTCCCGCGCCGCGGAGGCTGCCTCCAAGAACCGACTTCATATGGATAGGAATCCACAACACTCGAGGATCACAGGTACGTTAATTTTTTTTATGGCGTAAGTCGGTAAACGAGCAGACTGATCACCTGATGGTAAGCAATCGGTGTCGCCCATGGACACCTGGAACACCAGAGGCGTTACAAGTGCGTTACCGGCCTTTTGGGGAATTAGGAGTTTGAGGATCGTTGGGGATTCAGGAATTGGGGAGAGAGATTGGGGAAGGGGAGGGTAATTGGGCCTCCGGTAACCTCTCACACAACGCAACGCAAGCGTTGCTTCACGTCCGTTTTCTGAGAGGCCGTGGTATCATTCCGGTCGAGCCGGCCCATTCGTGCCGAAGCATGGCTCTCCCACACTTCTAGTATCTAGTAAATTGCTTTGTTTTTTACGTTTTAATAGTCTTAATGTAATATAGTTGAAAGAAAGAAAATGCGTAATCAAAGACTAATTGAAATGTAAATGCTTTGACTGTGAAAAATATTGCCTCGTTGGCCGAGTGTTCGCAAGTGGGACTCTGGCAAGGGATCTCGGGTTCGATTCCCGGATCGGTCAAAGTATTATTAGGTACTATGTTTTAAAAATTCTCAGTTATAGCACGGAGTCTGGAATTGTGCCCGGTATATGCCAATAGACTCACCCCATATTACATGGGACTCGTAACATAAATAGTTAAAAGTGGGTGTTACATTGTAAGTACAGTGGCATAATGTGCACCTCTGCCTACCCCTTTGGGGGACACAAGGCGTGATTTTATGATGATGACTTTGAAAAATAGGTCCTATGTTAAGTAGGTACCTAATTGATGCTTGGTCCGCTTCAAGTGTACGCTCATAAGTTTAAAAATATTATCGCGGAGAACCTAACGGGTTACTGGGGCACCGGCTCGAAGCGCAGGAGAAGGAACGGGGTGGTTTTTAGTCAGTAAGAGTCTGACACTCCCTCCCGCCTCACCCGGGCGGGAGAAGTCATTCGATGACATTCCCACCTTAAAAAAAAGTAAAAACATTCAGAATCAATTTTGAGTATTGCTATAACTTTAATTCTGAAAATTTTTAATTCCTATAAGTTATCTAAAAGTTATATGAAAAAGATAGTCGTTTTTGATATGATGACACCTAACAAAGAATGCAAGAGATTCAAATAATAACGAAGAGAAAATATGACAAACAATCAAGAAGATGCATTGCTTAAACCCAACAGTCTAGCTTTATTTATTTTAATTTACACTTCTTAAACGTAATGTAAACAATGATGGACTTAATGCCTAGTGGCATTCTCTTACAGTCAACATAACCTTAGTGATGCAGAGAAAGCTATTAGACAACCACAAAAGGGGTCCAGTAGGACTGATGCTCGATACGGAGCCGCGGAAGGCCCAACGGGTTGCCTTCGGCTCGATGAGCAGGTGGATGATCGTGGGGGTTTTTAGTCAGTAAGAGTCTGACACTACTTTTCTCCTAACCCAAAGCGGGAGAAGTCATTGGATGATATTCCGCCCTCAAAAACAAAGGGTAATGCAGACACAGTAGTGGGTGTAGGTTTCATCCCATTCAGCCCGTGTTCGTCCACTGCTGGACATAGGCCTCTCCAATGGCACGCCACTGAGCTCGGTCTTCTGATCTTCTCACTCCAACCACTGCCCGCCACCTAGCTGGATGGCGCCCTACACTACGTTTGCCTAGGTGTAGCTTTAGTATCGTTTCCAATACTTGAATCCAATACTTGAATATTATAAATGTGAAAGTGAGTTTGTTTGTTTGTTCCACCTTCACGCCGTAACTACTCAACCGATTGCTTTGAATTTTTGCGTAAAGTTAGAAGTCCGGATTAAATAATAGGGTACTTTTTAACCCGGAAAAATAGATATTCCCGAGGAAAAACAAAAGTATTGGTATAGATGGCGCTGTGTGTATTGGTATATGTCACGTAGGCTACTTTTTATTCTTTTGTGACGCGAGCGAAGCCGCGGGTAAAAGCTAGTATCTACTAAATTATTATCTTCTTCCTTAGATCCTTCAAACCCGGCCGGTCGCCGGAAGGAAATAGACAACGTGATGAAGAGAGCCCGCCAGGCGTCCCCGGGCAGCTGGGACCGAAAACTCCTGGAAGTGGAGGAGAAAGACCCAAATCGGTAAGTTTATATCATCATAAAATCATTAGTTGGAATATGTCCACAGTTGTACAAGGGATATAAATAATATTGATATGAGATTGGGACTATGGTGAGACTACCTGGGTGTACACTTGAGTAGTTGCAAGTAGGGTTGCCACCTTTTTTTTTGTATTTAAAGTACTTTGACAATTATAGGTAAGAAAAATAAAGAACACAGTACAAAAATAAAGTACACTTTATTCTTACTTAGTATTATATTTAAAAATATAATTTTTATTGCTTTTTGAGTTTGTATTAAATTAGTATCTTTTCTAAACAATTGCATTGAAATACTAAACAATTGCATCTTTACTAGAAATTGTCTAAGTAGCGCTGGCGATCTAAATCGATTCAACATAAATCGATAAATATCGATTTCGAATCGATAAGTTTACCGAAAAATACTTACGACTTTAATAGAAATTAAGTTTGCAACAATAAAGTATTTTCGTGTACTTTATTACCTATTCTTATAAAGTATAGAGTACAATTACCTTAAATAACGTACAATACTTTATTATAAAGTACGGGTGGCAACCCTAGTTGCAAATGTGACTGCCGAGCAACGTGTCTCGTGTTTGATTCCAAATTGGGCAAATTCTTGTTCCGAATGAGTAATGGCATTGATCATGAGACGCTGATCACCTGTCCATCACCATTCCTTTGTCTGTTTGCCGTCAATTCTATAAAAAAAAATCCAAAATTGACAACTAGACCATTTATTATCAGTAGCCTAATTGTGGTCCCTAAGGGCCTAACCTAACGGGTAACCGGGGCTCCGGCTCGACGTGCAGGAGAAGGAACGGGGTGGTTTTTAGTCAGTAAGAGTCTGACACTCCCTTCCGCCTCACCCAGGCCGGAGCAGTCATTCGATGATTTTCCCCCCTTAAAAAAAAAGGGCCCCGCGCAGTAGTCAGCCTGGCTGCGGAGTAGTGCAGCAGCCAGAATAATTGCGCAGCCATTCAACGTCTATTCTAATAACTTTCTCCGTATCAGTCACCCTATCAAAGTTCTGTACGCAAAATGCGCAGAAATGCATCACTGCCACATAAATTCGCCTACACACGTTCTGACTGCGCAGCACAGCCAGCCGGCTGCCGTGCAGACAAGCGCGTTGTATTGGCCGCTGCAGCCGGGAATTCGTGGTTGCCCAGTGCGCGGGCTCCTGTACAACGTCATATTTCAAAGTCAAATTCAAAATCATTTATTTCAATGAGACCAGGATGGCACTTTTGAACGTCAACCAACAAAAGATTATAAGTGATGCTAGTTGCTCATTCCAAGGCGTAGATTCCTATAGAGAAGAACGAGCAAGAAACTCCATAGGTTACTCTTTTTCAATCAGGTTCACAATACAATTCTCTAGTTACATAGTTTTATTGGTTCGATTATGTGAGAACAATGCAACACCTAAATCCAGTCAGGAATACTGAAAAAGAATACTGGCTGCCCCAGCCAGGCTGCCTAATGAGCGGGGGGCCTAAGTTGCTTGCCAAGCATGGTGATTATAACTATGTCACAATCATCTTTGTTCAGCAATGGGCATATTCCAGTCGATGATAATTACAAACAGTACCAACTACAATTTGTTCATTTTATCTAATGATTTAAATAATAATCAATAAATGTGATAATTAGTAATTAGGTATCGTAACTTCTAATTTATTGTAGTTAAGACCAGAGCACACGGCGTGTTTTATAGGCGCAGGAGATGCGCGTATTAGGAATGCGCGTTTGCGTTGATGATACAAGCTCATTCAAAGGTATACAAACGCGCGTAAAAAGAAGCGGAGTCCACAGTTGCCCCCCGCTTGCGTCTCAGTTGCAATAGTTTTCTTATGTTTTTATAATAACTATTGTGAGACATACTAAATTAACTAAAATTGCGGGTTACTCACGTGAATATACTAAGAAAAGCTCTACTAGCTTCGAACCAGCCTACAGGCGTAGGCTGCGCGACATCGCCGCGACCGCGCACGCTGCTTATGAGGAAGAACCCCTCTGTGGTTCGAAACTAGTAGTGCTTTTTCAGTATAATCACGCGAGTAACTCGCGATTTTTAGTTGGGTTTATTGTGTGTTTCGAGCGACTACAGCGCATATACGCACAGTAGAGGCGCATTTCCCGATCGTCTCGTGTGTTGCGTTCAAATCTTATTATGAATGCGCGTCTAAGACCTCTGCCTCAAAGTTTGCGGACAGCGAGGCGGCGGTAGCGGGTACAGTTGACTGTAGGGCACCGCTCGTTGACCGCCACCGCGCCGCTGTTTTCGAAAACCGGTCAATTTGATTTTATGCAAAAGATCATGCCGCTCCCGCGTCGCCGCCGCCGCCGCCAAGGCAGAGTCCTAAAACTGCTCCGTGTGCTATGGGCCTTAAAATACGGTGACCAGGGGGCTTACTCTTGAATCCATTCCGATCGATTGACATTGGTATTGTAATATTTCGTACTATTGAGTTGCAACATTAGCGCCCATTGCGTGGATATTAAATGAACTAAATGGTATTGAGTTTGACTTTATATTCCGTACTCTGAATGCTATTATAACAGCTACGATAGGGGTTGTATAGTTTTGACATTGAATAATTATTGAAATTTTATTAGATTGAAATTATATTGACATTGAGATTGGTTTCAAGATTAAGCACTCTGTTTGGTTCAAAGATGTGTACATAGATAGGGTCCTGACTACTATAGGCTCTTTATTTTGCTTGATTTTTTTTGTTATCTTATTTTTGCTGTATTTTGTTTGCTTATAACACTTCATTTTTTGTTCTGGCAATTTGGGGCTTGACCTGTTGAAATATCGTATCCTAAATTTGTTGATACAAAAGTAGTCTCTAAACATGGGAAATAAGGTCCATAATGTAGTTAGTGGAGAGCGGTCATCAATGACCGCTTGGGGATTTAAAGGTGAAGTCTTTATGTACAATACACATATATTTTTGACTACTTGAAAGTGCCATAACGCTATAGTAATTACTAATAATGCACTTGTTATACCGTGACAGACATATTATTTTTAACAATGGTCACCGTCAGGTAAACAATAAGTTTTGTTGCTACAAATATAGCATTTATCTATAAAAAAATATCTGCCAGGCATAGGTCACCTCAAATGTTTACTATACAAAATGAAAATAAACTGAATTGCTTCAGTTTTGATGGTTTAGTTTTATTTCGTCACTCTTATTTTGGTTTAGCATGGTGTTCTTATGTTTTGCTAAATAAAAAAGTAGTCAAAGATTCCTCTAAGGTCCAATTTACATTGCCATGGAATGATATGGAAGCGAAGTGTTAGTTCAGTAATTTCGAAGTTTAGCACTGAGTACTATCTGAGAGAAATCTTAAAATCTGAGATAGATTCATCAATCATTGCAATCCATTATTTTGCAAGGCTTTCTCGACTGATTTCAAGCCACGATAGGGGCCCATAGTTATAAACAATATGTGGGATAACCGACGCTGCGAGCGATCTGATTATGATTATGATATTACTAGCGGCCAACGCTGCTACGGACGATTTTTCTATGAAATCAACTATGGCAAGCAAAAACGACCGAAATCGGTCAGGCCAGCCACTTTTAATGCGAGATGACCAAAGAGCAATTCATACAAATTTATACCTAACAGATGAAAGAAAGAAGTCACAAAGTACAATAACACACAAAAATAAAATAAACAGTGAAGACGGCGCAAAAAGGCCAGATCTCGCTTTCAAACCATCCCGTGGCATTGCAAATTGAACCTAACTTACATGTCGCATCTATTGAACAGGTGGCGGCACACCGGTTACAAACAGCTGTACCTCGATGGGTCCAAGTCACCGTCGCCCAGGAGGTCTCGCTCCCCAGCTGTTAGGCGATCCAGGTGAAATAATTGTTATGATTATTGAGAAATTTGCACTTATTTAAATCAATTGATGTGCAAAAATAAATTACTCGGCTATAGAAATATAAATCTTGTGTTCAGTTTTAATTCCTGTGCTTCTATCGACGGGAAATAATGTTATTTTCTAATGTGTCTATAAATAAATGTAGGGTAGGGTTGAACGGGGTGTTGCGTTCCGAGCGCGCCTCAAAGAGCCATCAGATCACTACAGATGGGGCCCAAAAGGACTATATCTGGATACGGAGCCGCGAAAGTCCTAAAGGGTTGCCGTGGCTCCGGCCCGAAGATCAGTAGTAGTTTTTAGTTAGTAAGAGTCTGACACTCCCTCTCGCCTAACCCAAGGCGGGAGAAGTCATTGGATAATTCCCCCCCCCCCCCCCTAAAAAAAAGAGTAGAGTTGAACTTATGGGCGCTAGTTGAGTTATGTATAGAAAATTCACGTAAAAATATTATTTAGATACCTACGTAGCTTATACATTAATCGATTATTTTATAACTTAAAGATATGCAGTACCTATGTACCTCATGCTTGTAATGTGTTGTCCTTTGTAATATTGTCTGTGTGGTGTAGGTACATGAAATGATAAATAAATAAATAGTGTCTTCATGCTTCGCCAGAATGTGGTTTCGAACCCTCGAGCTCACGTATGAGACTGTACTTCTGAGTGATTTTTAATCAGTCATGATAATTTCCTCCAGGGGGTAAAAAAGTAAAGTGCACTTTATATAAGAATACCGTCAGCTTATCGTATATTTTTCTTTCATTTTTATTTTAAGATAAATTACATCATTATCATATAACTTCGTTTTGACTGCATCTACGACATTTTTAACTATCTTTGTTTGTCGACAGGACACCGCTACCGAGTCGTCGGTCCAGATCTCCGCTCGGTCGCCGGTCCCGCTCGCCCGTGGGACGCCGGTCGCCGCGCAAGTCGCGCTCCCGTTCCGCCAGGCGAAGCCCTAGGCGCAGTCCTAGAAGGAGCCCGATTAGGTGAGATTATGTTTAATAACAATGACTGCCTCGTTGGTCGCAGGTTCGATTCCCGGGTCGGGCAAAGTACTTCAGGGTTATTTTTAATTTCAATAGTAGCACGGAGTCTGGAATTGTGCCCGGTATATGGCACATAACATAATAGTGAAAAGTGGGTGTTACATTGTACAGTGTCATTAAGTGCCGTAATGCGCCCCACTGCCTACCCCTTCGGGGATAAATAGGCGTGATAATATGTTGTGTTATGAAGAGTAACCATGGAGTATCTTAGAATTGCTCTTCTGACTTTAGAACTAGCAAAAAGCTTCACTAGAGAACTGACCAAAGACCTTGTTTCATGATCAAGTGTCATGTATTGGTATAATTGAAATAAATAATGGAACTTTGTTGAGGGAAGTGGAAACTATAGTTCTTTTCTTCTCCTCTTATAATATCTTCTGATTCACTTCGTTGCGGAAACCAAGACAGTTGTTCATGTCCCTGGGACGCGCCGGACTTCAGTGTTCCGGTGTTTTCATGGTTGTATCTCCTGTAGATCCTGGCTTACAGGAGTTGCAGCGGTTTTGGGAAGTTGTGGCGGGCTTGTCCCAAAAAAATGTAACTTTGTACATTCCAATATTTATTTTAACGTTAAGATTTTACGGTTAAGACGCCTGTTTCTCGTGCAGGGTACGGGTACGAAACCTACCAACGGCAAGTACCAACGTGACTTTCCGCGTTATATGTACTTTCTAAGATTATTTAGACACCACTGATAAACAGTGAAGGAAAACATCGTAAGGAAATCTGGGCTTATAACTTCTAATTATAAGTTTATAATTGCCAACCCGCATTGAAGCGTGGTGATTAATGCTCAAACCTTGTGAGCTCCCTTCTTCTTGCTCAGCAGTAGGCAGTTATAGGCTTTTATTAATGATTTAATTTGTACAGACGCAGCCCGGCCCGTAGTCCGCGTCGTCGCTCCCCCCGTGCGCCGCCGCCACGTCGTGACGCTCGACGTCCGCCGCCTGCCAGACCTGCCAGGCCCCCGTCGCCGCCAGACCCTAGGAAGGTAAATATCTTAAAACTAGCTACTTCCGCGCGGGTTCACTCGCTTTGCTCGGCGCTTATTAATCGTAGCGTAATGTTTTATAGCCTATACTATTTAGTTTGTTGAATATTCATGCAATACGGATGCAATGGGCGCTAGTGTTTAAGTCAAAAGTACTAAATTTCACAATACCAATGTCGATTGATCGGAATAGGGTAGTTTCCAGGGTAAGAAAATTAATAATCTAATTAGTCCGTCATTTAGATAATGAAAAAATATTAGACACGTATTTTTTTTTCTCGTATAAAGTTACAATACTTAGATAAAATGGAGTTTTAGGAGTGGGAGGTCGTTACGTCACAAAGTGCTACATTTTGTAGCACGCTGCGCTGTCACACGACATTTCAAATCAATATATCGTCGAAAGCATTTAATTTTGTAAGAAAAGAAAAAATAAAAATTAATAGCCATCGACCCTCACGGCAGCGTATGCGTCCCCATCATATAGATGGTTGGCAGGCCACTACTGTGCGCTTCTCACGTAGCTTTCTGCCTCGCGCAGCAAAACTGTGGAATGATCTGTAGTCGGCGGTATTTCCGAACCGATACGACCTTCAAGAAATAGCATACTCCTTTTTAAAAGACCGGCAACGCACCTGTGACTCCTCTGGTGTTGCGGGTGTCCATTGGTGGCGCTGATCGCTTACGATCAGGTGATCAGTCTACTCGTTTGCCTCCTATTCCATAAAAAAAAAGTTGAGTCTAATGTTATAAAATAATTTACCAGACGGACATTAAAATAAAATTTAAGAAACTACCCTATTGGATTCAAGAGAAAGCACCCAGGTCTGTCTGCAAAGTTATAACTCGTCGACATCCGTCTGCTCGTTTACCATAATAAAAAGTAATGATACTAAAAAATATATTTTACCAGTCGTCAGGATCAGGTTCGTCAGTAAGCAGCTGCTCGGACGAGTCGTGTTCCGTGTGTTCAGCCAAGAACAAGAAGACTGCGCCACCACAACCACCCAAAGGCGTTAAACCCATGTAAGTAGTGGTTTTTGTAAGTTTTTGCAACATACCAGTGACAAACTGATATCGACTGCACGGTTGGTGCGGTGGCTGGGCTGCTGGCTGCCGTGCAACGTGTCGCGGGTTCGATTCCCGCACGGAACAACACATTGTGTGATCCACAAATTGTTGTTTCGGGTCTGGGTGTCATTGTGTATGTGAAATTGTATGTTTGTAAACGCACCCACGACACTGGAGAAAATCCTAGTGTGGGGCAAAGTTTAAAAAAAAAAAAACAAAGTAGGCAGAGGTGCACTTAATGCCACTGTACAATGCAACACCCACTTTTTGGACCTCATCGCTCGCTTGATAAAATTAACGTGTAAAAGTGCTGCCTTGTAGCCTATTTGCAGAAATAAGTTCACTTGTTTCACTTTAACCGACTTCAAAAAACGAGGAGGTTCAATTCGACCGTATATTTGCTTTTTTAAGTTTGTTCGCCGATATCTCCGTTGTTTATGAACCGATTTTTCACTATTTATGTTTTGAGTCCCATGTAATAGGGGGTGAGCCTATTGCCATATATCGGACACATTTCGAGACTGCTACTACTGAGAATTTTCTAAAAACCCAGTAATACTTTGTCCGACCCGGGAATCGAAGTCGAGATCGCTTGCCCGGCAGTCGCACTTGCGACTACTCGGCTAATGAGGCAGTCTTCTTCTTATGTTTCAATTGACGAAAAATGCGTTATAGTATGCGCAAGGTCAAATTAAAGATTGCCCTTATAAAATGAATCTGATATACATTCCTGTTGCTGTCACACCTATTATAATTGTGTTGTTCTTTGTACAGTCCCCCCGCTACATCTCCCGCGCGTGCAGCGGCCAGACCCGCCGCACGAGCTGTGCAACCCACTCGCGAGTTGCTAAAGGCACGCGAGGCTAGCAAGCGGACCAGGGAGGAGAAGGTAAGTTATAATAGTGTACAAACACTATGTACAGATTAGTGACGTGAGTTGATTCGAAAATGCTCAACTAGTTTCGAGCCGACCTAGAGCACATAAACACGAAGTTGTGTACGACCGAAAAGCTAAAGTGAATTCTCAAGATGTGCCGAAAATAATGTTATTTTATCCAAAAGATTACAGATTTTCATAAAGTACGCAATCAAAATACTGACTCCTCTATATCCTACTCTATAATGATCAGATGCAACTTACCACGACAGCTATCTAACATTGCCATTCCTCCCTAGGTACTAGAATGGCAACGCACCCAGATGGCAGTCCGTCCCCCGGTCCCCGCGACCCACATCAAGCGTGAAGGCGAGCGCCGGCCGGGCCCCCCCGCGCCCCCGGCCGGGGCCCCGCGGCCCGCCCGCCGCGACCCCCGCGACCCGCGCGCCGTGTCCCCGGCCGCCATCGCCGCTGCGCTCAATGATAGTGACTCGGACTCGGAGTCTGACGCCAGCTCTGACCCGCAGCCGCAAAGGTGAGATTTGTGTGGGCAGATATTTGTGTGGGTGGAGAAAATAACAAAGCCAAGATTTTTGATTCACAAAGAAATAGCCACTTTCAAAGCCAATATCTGATTAAACTGTCAAACACCGCGAGGACACCGGTGACCGCAACCTATTGTTCTTTAATTGTGTCTATAATGACAGTACTCAAAGGGTTAAAGCCGGCAAGCCAATAATGTTACTGTAGGGGTGTTTCTGGCAAGTTAGTGTTAGCAATAGACTACATAAGACATGTTAAAGAAGGACCAAATTAAAAGTACCCTTAACTGATGTGCCCTACCTGTATGGGAAATTCTTCATAGTATCCGTTCACCCCTCTTCTGTCTCTATTCACCTCTCGATCCCTATTCACCTCATTTTTTGTATGTAATTTTGGTAAAAATAACCATGTAATAAGTGTGAAAACTAGCAATTTGCTCTTGTTACACAGGCTAACACTATCGGAGCGTTTCGGCAAGATGGCGCAATGGTCGGCGGACCGGTCGGCGCGGCTGGAGAACATGCGCATCACGCGGCGTGAGACCACGCTACACGTGCGCATCGAACGAGATGAGTCCGCTACACCGGCTCCTACTGCGCCGCAGCCGTACCCGTGAGTATACCTTCATCCTAATTCAAATTCAAAAATTATTTATTTGCGTAAATAAGGTACAGATAGTTGTCATTTTCTAATAACTTACGTCCTCTTATTTTGGCTTCAACATCGGCGTGCAAAAATAATGTAGGTACTTTACAGACTTGTCAAAATTTTATTATACTGCTATCTCAAAGAAAATTACGATTAGAAGTGAATTTTATAAAAGAGAAAATGTCACAAAATTAACACAAAATGTCATAAATGTCACACACAATATTCTATAAATGTCAATTTTACAGGAATGTCACACATATTATAAATAGATTACATTACAATTCACAAACCATTAAATATTACAATTTATAATCTAAATACTCAAGCACACTGTAAAAACATTTGTCAATTAGCAGGTTTATTAAACCTCGTTTAAATATATCTTACTAGCATCTGCCATCAGCTTCGCCTGCGTTCTCGTTGAATAAAAAATAGCCTACATGTTGTTCCAGATAATAATAATCTAGACTAAAACCCCCTGTTCCAAACTTTCCTTTAGTCATTTTTAAATATCTAGCCGAGTCCGCAACCTCGTCCGCGTGGAATAGTGATTCACAGCTCCTCCCCCGTAGTTGATAGCGTGATAATAATATGTCGTCTATATGTTGAAAGAAATAGATTAATCTTAACCTGTTGAAATTCATCCCCTAAATTTGTTCATACAAAAGTAGTCTCTAAACATTGGAGATAAGGTCTATAATGTAGTTAGTGGAGAGCGGTCACCGGTAACCGCTTGGGGATGTATGGGTTAAATTGAGTTTTGTCTGTAAACGCATTCACGATACAGATGAAAATCCTAGTGTTGGGCTACATATTACCTATGTTTTAACCTTTCATGTGTCTAAACGTGAATCCACGCGAGTCACAATGCATTTTCTATTGTGTCTCATATATTCCTTCTCCATGTCAGAAGAGGCCATTATTTTATAGCGGACTGGTTTTTACACATTACTGACTAAAAACCACTCTGTTCCTACACCTCCACTTCCAGCCGGAGCCCTAGCAACCCGCCAAGTCCTCCGCGGTTCTGGTTTACACACACACTGCGACCTATAAAGTCAACAAATACCCAACTTAAAGTTTGAAAGCTTATTTATTATTCTTGTACCAGGGCCTTGGAAGGCGCTGCAGCAGGAAGCTACCCTGAGGAACTTCTGCTGGCGGCTCCAGCTGGGCTGCCTTCCTGGGATGATGTACGGGTGCGGTACGATTACTACAAGAAGCGGGGTTATCTCAGAGGTAAGATTTTGTATAAATAGAAACCGGCAACCACCGATGTGAAACAACGCTTGCGTTGATTTTCGTTGTGCGAGTGAGGTTACTGGAGGCCCAACTAAAGATTAATTCAGTACAAAACCTATTAGTTGACGTTACGGCTCAATACATTAAATTATTACATACATACATAATTTCACGCCTGTCTTCCATGGGAGTAGACAGAGACTAAGAAACGCCAATTACTCGCCAATTACTACGATTCTTACAGACCTCTTTCGCTTCATTAATAGAGGTGTTCGTTATATTATATAGCAGAATAAAACAGCCGTTGAAAAAATAAAGCATACGCAGCCTGTTATTTATTTTTACAGCGTTCTACTCTATGCGCTAAATGCCATCGTTTTGGCAGAAACTTCTACGTCACCAACAATGAAAATGTCAACGGAACTATTTTGTTTCTAAAAGCAACAAGAGATGTCGTTGTTTTATACTATTTATTATAGATTTTAACGGTCTTGACATAAGGTTGTATATTCATCGGCAACGAATAGCGCAAATTAAATTAAAGGAAGGTTAAACTGTCAAACACCAAGCGGTCACCGGTGACCGCGACCTATTGTTCTTTAATTGTGTCTATAAAACCGGTACTCGACGAGTTAAGGATTAAATTATTAATTTATACAAAACGATGACGTCGCAAAACTATTTATTCCTCTCGAGGTACTTCTTCATACAATCATACAATAATTCGCAAACGTTTTAGCAACGCATTTGTAACGTGTAATGTAGCTTATGCCTATGGGCGACGCTAATCTCTTAAAGTCAAAGTCAAAGCATTTATTTCAATTAAACCATAGTTTGGTACTTTTGAAACGTCAACAAATACAAAATAAATAATAGTCTGTCAGTCAGTCCGTCAGTGAAACTAGGTGAAGCTAGGTGCTCATTCCATAAAGTAGATTCGAATGGAGAAGAACGAGCAAGAAACTCTATTCGTTACGCTTATTTAAAAAAAGTATGTTCTACAATGTCTTACCATCAGGTGATCTGTCTGCTCTGTAATTATAGATTTTTGACGACGCCCATGGACACCCGACACACCAGACGTTACAAATGCGTTACCAGTCTTTTGGGGATTAGGTATTTAAAGATTTTTGGGTATACGGGGATTGGGTAGGGGTAATTGGGCCTCTGGTAACCTCACTCACACGATGAAACATAACGTAAATGTTATTTCACTATGGTTTTCTGCTCGGCCGTGGTTTTACTCCAGTTCCGGCCCATTCGTGCCGAAGCATGGCTCTCCCACAATGATACCTTCTCTATTTATATTTCTACTAGCTTTTACCCGCGGCTTCGCTCGCGTCACAAAAGGATAAAAAGTAGCCTAAGTGACATATACCAATACACACAGCGCCATCTATACCAATACTTTTGTTTTCCCTCGGGAATATCAATTTTTTTCGAGATAAAAAGTACCCTATTATTTAATCCGGACTAAGTTAGTAACTTTACGTCTGCAAAAAATTTAAAGCAATCGGTTTAGTAGTTACGGCGTGAAAGCGGAACAAACAAACAAACTCACTTTCCGATTTATAATATTAGTAAGGCCTGACTGCCTCGTTGGCCGAGTGGTCGCAAGTGCGACTGCCGGGCAAGGGGTCTCGGGTTCGATTCCCGGGTCGGGCAAAGTATTACTGGATTTTTAAAAATTCTCAGTAGTAGCACGGAGTCTGGAATTGTGCCCGGTATATGGCAATAGACTCACCCCCTATTACATGGGACTCATAACATAAATAGTGAAAAGTGGGTGTTACATTGTACAGTGGCATAATGTGCACCTCTGCCTACCCCTTCGGGGATAAAAGGCGTGATGTTATGTTATGTTATGTAATATTAGTAAGGATCATGTCATTTGTTTATGTGAACAGGTCTAACGCTGGGTGACTATGTGAAATGGGAGGAATGGTGGTATAAGTACCAAGAGTGGCTGAAACACGAGCGAGCCTACGAGAGGTGGGCTGAAGGAGAAGTAGGGACGGTGAGTTAATTTCATTTTTATTATCCTAAATGACTTAAACGTCTTAGCTCTCCATATGAGACACAAGGCACCATAGATATAGGGTAGTTGCCAGGGTATGAATATTAAAAATCTAATTAGTCCATCAGTTAGATAATGAGAAAATATTAGACACGTATTTTTTTATTTTCTCGTACAAAGTTACAATGCTTGCGATATTTCAAATTAATATATCGGTGGAAATATTAAATTATGTGAGAAAAGACAAAATATATGTCTAATGTTTTAAATAAATCTACCAGACGGATATTAAAATAAAATTTAGGAAACCACCCTATAATATTGGCACGTTGATGGTGCGGCCACATCTGGCGCATGCGCAGTTTGCTTTTCGATCAAGCATGGTGGACGGTTTCCAAGTCATTTGCTGCACAAATGAAGGCTCTTTGGCAGTTTGAATATGTAAGTTTTAAAATAAATGTTATCCCATAGGTACGTCGCGAGAGGCGACGTAGAGGCGGGCGCCACAGAAGGAGCTGAGGACGCGCCGCCCCCGCTGCCGTCCTGTCCGTGGACTTGGCAGCGGGGGCTCTCCCCGACACTATCTAGGGGAGACCGGACACTACACAGTGCCAACTTAGTGATAATTATAGTGCTAGTATCGTAGTGTACAGTGAGTTAAGTGATACACAAAGCGTATAGACACACCTCCAATGTGAAACGCGCTTTGATAAGCATCTTTGAACATTTTTATGGTTATACTAAAGTTTATTCACTTGGACACGGCAGTTGGAACGCTTGTAGTGAGAATGGTTTAGCAGGAACTGACTACAGCTTGAAGTACAGCTTCAGAGTGTTTCATGAACTGACTGTGTGATCGACTGAGTCAGTGGAAGAAGTCAGTGTACGATACAGTTACAGACGGACTGACTAACATCACAGTTTGGTCAGATTGAAAAAACGCGCTTCTATGCGATGGTATGGCTGACTTACAGCTGTATTAGGTCAGAGTGCGAATAGGACCCGATGTAAACTGACGACGTTATCGCTTCGCTACCGTTTGTATAGCACTACGGAAGTCACTTTTTAGTGCGTAAGCTAGTGCAAAAACTTTAAAGAAGACTTTGAATTTCGTATATGGACGCTTAAAGTGCCAGCCAGCCTACGGAAGTCATTTCTTAATGCGTAAGATAGAGCTGGCTCATACGAGGTTCGTACTCAACAGATTTCTGTGTAAAAAGACGCTCTTGAGTGCCCCTGCATTATGGAAGTCACCTATGGTGCGTAATATGATGCAGGCTACCGTTAGTTCGAAGAGAAGCCGCGAATCAAACTAGTTTAAGCACCACGGAAGTCACCCCTGGTGCGTAAGATGGTGCAACTTACTTGTAAGGTAGAAATCTTAATGAGTGTTAGCTGTAAGAGTCCGGACACTATAGTGCCAAGGTATCTGTGAAACAACTACACGGAATAACGTTGGAATTGGGTTAATAATAAACCTTCCAATGTTTAATTATACTCTTACATATAAATTTTGTAACTATGCAATAAGATTTCTGTATAAAGATTGTGTCTGTCCGCGTTTCCCGTATGGTGATGTTCGATACATCTTATTACACGGACATGATATGGCCAAGCGAACGTCAATCAACGGAAAACGCTTCTTCCTTTGTAGAAATACAATAATCTGGTCTAAAATAACACTTAGCACATGTTTTCACGTCGTCAATACCCCATGACGAAGTTAAAACATGCTCTAATATGCAAATACAATGAATTTGACAATCATATTGGCAGGAATGTAACTAAAATTTAATGTGCAATCAAAATGATGGGGCTAATAGCCGACCGACTGGGTTTGGGAGTCCGCACTGAGTCTTAATCGAGATCAGAGCCTTCGACTACCAGTAAATACTGCAAATATAGCCTTTGACAGCCATCCAGGTGATACAGTATAGATTGGGTCGACATATTCCCCATACCTATACTTGAAACTTAGTTGCCCATGTCGGTAATATCATTTTGATTGCACTAAAAACATGGAATTTCAAAATTCAAAATCTGTTTCGTAATACGTGTAGATGTTGTGTAGGTGTCTTCAAGTCGAAATGGATTTTGTTTTACCGAAAATTCTATCTAGCGTTTTTGTAAATTGAGTATTTTGGTAATACCTGAAGTTTTCAGCTCGGGTTGCCTTGTCTTGGTCGATATTTAGACTAGGATACGCTAACGTGAGTCTGATAGGTTTCAAAATACGGAAACGCTAGATAAATTTTCAATATTTAAAAACTGACGATCAAATTATCTAGTTTAAGTTGACTACATACTTTTTTAATAACTGTCGTGTGACGACGGTGTACTCATGTGAATATACTGAGAACAGCTCTACTAGTTTCGAGTCACAGAGGGGCTTTTAGAGCTTGCCTCAGTATATTTACGTGAGCAAATCGTTATCATGTTCCAAAATCTTAAAGAAAATCGATTCTTATATTTTATTTTTCAATATTTCGGACTCATTTAAAAGAAATAAGGTTTTCTTAAAACATTTCGACTTATGTAAATATGAATGTGTGAAAAAGCTTAAAAATGAAAAAATAACGTATGTTTATTTCTATTTTAGTTTTTACTAGAATATTAGTTTATTATTTTTGGCCGAAAAATGGATCTGATACCCTTTTTTGACAAGAGGGTATATGCAAATGTAATCGTGAGTTGACCTCGCGCGAAAGGCCCATAAGATTAAAGGCTTTTTAAAATAACAAATAAAACCTTAATATAATGTTAATAATAACATTTTGCTTCGTTTTAGTTTAAATATTTTAGTTTTACGGCCAAATTCAATATATAAATACTATATACAATTAAAAATTAATTGCCTAATATAAAAATTACACTTATGGGTCTCCTATACAGAATATAATCCCATAACAATGTTATGGGGCACGGAAATAATGAAAAAATCTCGAAAAAGTATTTGGAATCATAATAACCAGGATATGCAGAAGGAGAAACCGATACAATCATTGTATTCTTATTATATTTAATTTAAATTTTATTAGAAGTACAATTTTCTATATTTATTTTCAAATTTTTATTTACAGTCTGTGTATGATAGGTGTAGATTTAGGTTTAAGTCTGTATGTTTGTGCGTATTTTGTGTTTGTTCATGCTTAGGCCAGACGCCAGCACATGAAGCTATCCGAGACTATCAAAATTATTTAAAAATAAAACATCACACCCTTATAATCAACTTTGTTACAACACCTTAAGGTTGATAATTAAAGAAATTTGTCAGAATGGGATAGCTTCATGTGCTGGCGTCTGTGTATTTTTGTTACAATACTACCCGTAGCAACAAAGCTTACTGCCCATCAGATGTAAGCGGACACCGTAGTCTTATACACCTCCAACACCAGAGGTGTCACGTGTGCGTTGCGGACCATGTAGGTAACTGTTTAATTGAGCTATCGTTTACTAAAATGGTAGCGCAATTAAACAGTGGGTTGGGCATCCGGGGACCTCTCACGTACCAGACGATACGCCTCCATACCAACTTACCGCCGTACTGACATCCATTTAATGATTACTTTACCTAGCAACTGTTTGGAACAAAATTGCTATTAAAGAACAGTTTAATACATTGATATACATCGTACCGAAAATCCCCGAAATATGTTCATACAAAAGTAGTCTTTATACATCGGACATAAGGTCTGTAATGGAGTTCCGGTGACTGTTTGCTGGTTGTACAGTTAGATGATCATTGAATGTCTCCGAGTATGACATCTACTCTTGCCACTTTTTGACGAGATACGACTAGTTTGAAGCCACGCTAGGGACTCATAGTATCCCCTATACCTACTTATTATACTCTTTGACTCATAGTCTTGAGCTGTCTTCCGCGAATATCGACACGAATGTCGCTGCAACCTAGTCAAACTAGTCGACTTCGTCAGACAGTGACGTGAGTATGCCTCAAAGTAATTGAGCTTGGTGTTTACCTAAAAGGGTTTTAATCAATTACCACTAAACTGCGTTATATGTAACGCCCTTTATAACGTAGCATGAACAAACACAATATATATCATTAATAATTATTATAATGCAATTATAATACGTAAATAATTATATTTATTTGCGCATAGTCGTACAATCAAAGGGTATAATCTGGGTGTCTTCAAGTGAAGAGGTTATACAGGCGTGCTCCATCGTAGGCCGCATCATCGCTTACCACCAAGCGAGATTGTGGTCAAACGCCGACCTATTAGTACCATATGACTATAAGTATTTACTGTATAATAGTCAAATGTCGATGTAAAATTTTCAATGATCACTAGTTCTTTTTTTGCTCACAAGGTGGTGCTAATGTCGCCTAAGGTTTGTTTGTCAACACCAATCACTAACTGTTCAAAATTGAATAGTTTGATGCTACCCATCTCATTGGTCCTTTCGCGTCATTAACGCCATCTAGTGAGCTATAGAACGCTCCCTCATTGATTGTACGGCTTACATATTGGTTGGCTGCATTTTTATAAAGCTTGGAACATAACTAAACAGATATTTTTGTTAAAAAGCAATGTTTCTGATATTCTGTAAGGACTTGATTGAAGATCTTAGCAACTGGAGAATGTAATTGCCAAGTCTTGGCACTTCTAGGTTCCCTTGGAGCGTGATGCTAGTCTGACGATCAAATAAAAAAGTCAATGTATAGATTTGACATTAACCATTGACATAATTTGTCGAATATCTGTGTCTATTCCATACATTGATGTTTCTATTTACCGATTCGACTAGCGTTTCAGCTTAGGAGCCTTGGGGGGACTTGCTATACCCGCGGGGAGAGAATGGATGGTGACTAAATGTATTCTGGAGTCACCTTCAGTTTGTAAGCGAGGCGTGCTCCACCATAGGCCACCTCATCGCTTACCACCAGGCGAGACAGTGGTCAAACGCCTACCACAAAGTTTAGTAGGAGATCTTGATTAAAAATGCAGCTAACAATTCCATTTTAATGTCTATCATTGTGTGTATGAGATTAGAATTAATAAAATCATGCAATTAGATGTTAAGAATAAAGTTGTATATGGTCAGTATTCATCGGCTCGGGTGAGGCGGGAGCGAGCGAGCGTCAGGCTCTTACTGACTAGACACCACCCCGTAGTAGTAGGAACTCCTGCCTCGAGCCGGGGCCGCGGTAACTTTGTACTTTATACGTGGATGTCGTCAGTAGGAATTGTAACATCTTGAGTAAGAAATATAGAGCTAACAAATATTCACGCGGGCGTTCGAATGAGTTGTAGGCGTTAACACCAGATTTAGAAGTCTCAAAATATTATTTTAGACTTTAAAAATGTTAAATATCAAGGGTAGTTCACAAGACGCGATTTCAATCTGCTATTTTGAATTTTATAAGCCATTCATCCAAAATGTTCTAATAACAACTGAGGCAAGATTGTGATGTTTACACAAAAACTACTAAGCCGATTTCGATGGTATTTTCCATATAGACTCTGAATTAAGACAGGATTATTTTCTCAATA